ATTATCACTTCAAGAGTCTGCCTGCTTTTGCAGATAAAATATTGAAGGATTTTTAGTGGTACTTCACACATGAACATACACACTACTTTAAAACTGCAAGGACCTAGTTAACCGAAGACAGTATTCTCCCCTTATATACAGAAAAAAGACTGTGATACACAAGCAGCCATCAGTCAGCATGAAAGTAAAGATATAAAAATAAAATACTCCTGTAAAGGGTTGTTAGGAGCATTCAGCAGATTTCACCATGACTTCATGGTGTTCTCTACAGGAATTCAATACTGTATTGCTCCACATTAAGGGAGGGATTTACCATTTTTAAGGGCTCAGTTTCCCATAAAGGGAAAGGGTAGTTCAAGTCTATTTAAATTTATCATTTTTTCCCATAAATGAAAGCTGATCAAAGTAAAACATGCTTTACCATCCCATTTTAAAGAGACAGATTCCCGTCATGTTCTGGAGGGAAAAGTAGTTTCCTTGCTAATGCAGAAGTGTTTCTTGCCATTGCATAAACCAGGATGTTCCATGTTGTATCAGAAAAATTGTGAAATGTTGAGTTAAGTCTGCTTCCAAATGACATCCGTGTTGTGGCACAGGTATCTATCGGGCAGCCCCCAGCCCAGCCTGGTGCTCCAATTTGAGTTTATAGCCATGCCCAGCACTTCAGAAGGAGTTTTGTTCAAACTGGGATTGCAGAATCAGTCCTACGACTTGTTTGGAAACCATAAATTAGGCTGAGTGTTACGCTTCCTGGCTTTAGTGAGGCTGTATCTGTTAGTACCATTTGTACACTACTCCAATTTAACCGGTCAGATAAATCATCAGCTTCATGGTTGGAGCAAAACTGACAGCTATGACAGAGTACCCAAAACAAGCCATGAACTCCCCACAGATATAAATTGGCATAAGTGCTTTCATTTCATCACCCAAGGATTTCGCTTGGGATGGTTTAGCTTGATATTTTTTGCTGATTATTTATTTTGTGTTTAAAGCATCTGTATGAAGCAGAGAGAATATGTAACCCACCAGGCAATATTTAAATTCGGCAGGTCGTTTTTTACTGGTTTGTGTAAAAGTTGCGCTTTGTGCAAAAGTGGCTGTTTGGGCTCCAAAGTTTTCTCAGCAATTTCCTTACTGGTCTGTACAGTCTCGTGAACTCAGGCTGTAAATCAGCCATGTGTTAGGCTGAGTGTGCCTGCAGTGAAAAAAGGCTCTCATAGCCAGTGAGATGGGCACACTGATTTCTTTGCAGAGTGTGGGGGTTAAACATGTGCTCAAATTCTTGGGGTTTGGTTTACAATTATTACAGGTCACTATAATTTTTATTTTAAAATAATAATATATATAATATAATACAAAATTCATTTTTCTGTGAATGCTCTGTATCCTTAAAATATCCATGCAGATGTCTAAGTATTTGTAGCTTTCGTCACCAACTTGAATATATGTTTAAACACTACCCTTTTTCCCTTTCTAAAATGACCATTGTACATATTTTTGCAAGTGATGTTGTAAAAGCAGAGTTCCTGGCTGCAGCCCGGCTCCTCAAGAGGTCACCAGCACACCCGTGGAGCTTCTTCCCCATCATGGGGGTTCCTGTCACAGGGTATTGGTAGGGCAGAGCCATGGGCTTTCTCTCTAAACTCATTCTTGTAAACTGTGTAACAGAGGAACTTCAGCATCCTTTGGCTTCCTGATATAATCAGTTCATTAAATCTTATTTGTGAATGCGCCTGCCCCAAATGGACTGCTTACAAAACCTGGGGGGGTACAATCACCCTTCTTCTATTACCCTAGTCCAAGACCTGTCCTTGTCTTTCATGGCACCTGCCACATGTCTCCCAGAGAGCAACAGAAGGGTTATTGGGTAAAATTTAGCAGACACAGGAGATGAGATCTAATGAGCTAACAGTCATCAACTATTATCATCATGGTGACCATTAGCAGCACCACGATCGTGTACCAGCATAGTCATCACCTATTTTCCAAATCCCCTCTTTGGTTGCTACAGGAGCCTTTGCTCTTAACCCTTGATCTCAGTTCATTTTGGTCCCATTTCTGCTTTCACTTCCCCACGTGACCTCACAGACTCCAGTTCAGCTGCATTTCATTTACACTAATGAAAAGCGAGTTGAGCTTTGTGTCCAAGTTCTCCAAGACCTTTGGCCTAACATCCATTTACACTTATGTGATAAAACACCTAAATATCTTGCAAGGGAGAAGGGGTAAGCATTCTCTCTTGGCTATCGTTCCTTCTACTACAGCATGGATTATTTTAGACTTTACATGTATGCCTTATTCTCACTGCGATTTGCGAGGCCACATTTCCATCGATGTAAGCATTAAACCAGTGGCAGGGTTACAGCAGACCCTAATTATATTACAGTTTAATAGGGAAACAGATTATGTCAAGTGGGAGGTCAGCAACATATTTTTGGAGCACATCTCAAAGTTCACCCGGTGAACTGGAAACTTCCTTTTACTGGAATATTTATAGTTTGTTTGGTTTAAACTGGAAATATCCTTTCTGTGAGCTTCTCCTGAGCACCGTTTGGGACAAAGACAGTGTGCAGAACATCAGCCACAGCCATCAGCCGCAGGAGATCTGGATCTTCCTCCTTTTCAAACTCTCCTGTGATGGATTAAGATGGCAGCTTTAAAGTGGACAAGCTGCAGTAACCTAAAGCAAGCAAATCCCAAGCATCTTCAGAGAAAACCCTTGCCCAGGGCTACAGACACCCTGGCACCCAGATCCCATATGTGCTGCAGTCAGAAACCTTTGTGTTTCTATGCACCTCAAAATTTCATTTCTGCATAAGTGCACAAATACATCTGCTACCCAACTAGGCCGTGTCCAGTGGGTTCCTGATACTTAATTTTCCCCTAGGTCCTCTAAGGTATGATGTTTTCTCATCATACCTATCCTCAGCAGGCAGTGAGTGCCTGCACTGAGTAGTCATGCCTTTCTTTCAAAGACTGGATGTCTTTTAGGGCACTTGCTTCAAAGAACAGGGCTCCATTTCTGCTCCAAAAAAAATGCTTGCATAAAATCTTTGATCAGCCCTGGGAGTGAGATCCAGAAACAGACTCTTCTCCCAAGCCATTTTCTGTATTTTCTCTGCCCTTTCTCTATTTTCTGCATGGCCTCAGCAAGGAGCATGGAGGGTGCTTGTATCCCCATCTATAGCCTGATAGCTCAGGCAACCTCCCAGATCAAAAGAAATACAAAATTAAACCTCGTTAGACAGTCAGTGGAACTGAACGTGGCTCTTACATATCCCTACTGAAAGCTTAAAGGAAGCAGCACCACCTCATCCTTCCACCAGTCTTTAAAACAAAGGAGTGATGCCTCGCTAAACTAAAAATAAGAGAGCAAAGCCCAGGCAGAGATCTCAGGTTTGTGGCTCTCAAGAGGACAGAGGTGCCTCCCTACAGCCCCGGGGGGAAGTGGTCCCCCATCTCCTGCTGGGGAGGCTGAGCTGTTCCCTGCACACCTTGGTGGCTGATTTGGGAGCTACTTCAAGGGGCTGAAGTCTTCCAGCTGAGGATCAAGACACATACGACAGGGGACCTAGAAGTCAGGTGTATTTGTGACTAGAATTTGGGTGGCTGAAGTTTTATGGGAACTCTGTTGGCTCCTGAATCTCTTCAATAATTTTTCATTGTGCAGTAAGGACAGCAATTATTGACAAGGTGTGAGAAACCGCTTTGTTTTCTCCTGTGATGATCAAAGTGCACCACCACCAGGGACAACTCTCTTTTAGAAAGCAGTGGGGAAATGTTTAAACAGAAGAAAGCCTCAACACCTCCATAGACATTTAATTTGAACTTGCAATGTGACAGAACTATCATGTGAACATTTTTATGAGTGATTTAGCAAAGTTCAGTACACCTTGTAAACAAAAGGCATATTTCCATCCCAAAGTAAAATACTGTTTAGTTTTGATTTTTTTCTGGTAACATTAAACTTTTATTGATAGAAAAACAAAATGAACATATTAAAAAAAAAAATTCGTCTCTTCTTTGAAACATGCCACCTTATTCTAAAATAACCATATTCATCCCAGCTGATACTCAAGATATTAAAGTAAGGATTTCTCTTTCCTATTAGAAAATGCAGCCACTTGGGCAGGTAATCACAGCACTGGAGTGTTTAATTTTGTTAAGTTTTATATAAACTTGTTTTATAATATATTTTGCCTCTCAAATGACAGGAAGCCCCTTAACATAAACACCACTGCAATTTTATTATGTGAATGAGCGGTTAGTAGTTTGGTAGGGCTTTTTTTTTTACTCTAAACAAGTGAAGGAATTTGGAAATCCTGACCTTGAAACGCTTTCACGCATGCTTAAGTTTAATGGTGCACGTAATCTCAGTGAGTCCAGTACTACTCATATGTTTAAATTTAAGCACATACATAGGTCTTAGCAGGACTGGGCTTTAATATAGCACAAAATCTAATGTCTAGTTCTTCAGTGTTAAAATTAATACCTTGTTAAATTCAGTTTTTTAAGAGAAGTAATTCTATGAATTTATAATAATTATTCTGTATCTAACAAATATTTTAACTGATATATATATTACAATAGATAATATTTCTAAATATCTATATAATAAGACATATAATATCTCTAAAAACTACTGAGAGTCATATGGGGGACCTGACACCTTGTAGAAGAAACCCTTAGAGAGAGGGCTACTGAGGCAGGAAAAATTTGGAAAACTTTTCAGGCAGTTTCTCCCCTGATGCAGGACCCTCCCCTCATGTAGCAGAACAAAGTCTCAGCTACAGTGTTTGTTGACTTTGGTGAGTTTCCTGCAGAACAAATCTCTCCATGCAGGCATTTAACCTCCCCGCACCATCTGTCCTCACGCTATCTCAGCCTTTCTCAGCCCATAAGCACATGCTGGGGAGCCATCACCATCCCAAACAGCAATAATTGCCATTCATCCGAGGGTTTCCTTGAGTATTTCCTAATAGAGCTCCTGTTCCCAGCAGGTCTCCTCGTCTTTGCCGTGATGGTGGTCTGACATGAACAGCTGTGCTCCCAAATCCCTTGGCAGCTGTGGGATACAGCAGCAGCCCGGGCTGCACCATCCAGACCGAGGGAAGACACCACCACCAGGGCTCACCCAGGTAAGGAATGGGATGAAATTATTTTCACTGCTGTTGGGATGGGGATGCACTCCCAATTCTGTTTGCTGCTGCTAATTCAGAGTAACACGTTATCGGTTATCACTAAGACAGATATTTCCATTATAGAATCTCTGGGCCTTGTTACAAGATATATATGCTCTAAAAACTCAAAAAATTAATACCAGCTAATTATTCTCTAATTCACAAAATAAGCTACATCTTCACGGATCTGTTTACTTTTATTTTCTTTTTAAAATCATAATGATTTTCCATACTGAATAATTGTCTGTGAACATTTTGTTTGGGAGCTCAGCTTGAAAAATAAGCTAACAACAACAAAACCCAACCAACCAGTAAGGGCAAGCAGTACTCACAAGATTTTATCAGTTACTTCCAGCAAACGCCCCTCAGTGCCTATTTCACTCTGCTATTTTAATTTGCAAAGCTTCAGGAAGGAACAAAGGTTAAATACTTGGAATTTGCACAGGTTGTACATAAATGCAGAATGCTACATAAATGTTACAAGTAAATGGTAGTTCAACCAAGAGGGAAAAAAGGGGGGGGGGGCATGGGCTGCAGCTGCCCTGAAAATCATTATAAATAGAAAATTCCTCCGGAGCCAAGTGGGAAATCAGGAGGTGGAAATGCAGAGCAATGTGGAGGTACTACTTTCAAGACTACTTCATTTGGGGAGTCCAGGTAGGTACGAAGCTGAGCAGAATGATTTTACAAACATCTCCTGTTATGTTTTACTAGAAGGAATAACATAAAATACAACTGTAGTACAGGAACACGCTCTGGTAATTTTGGAGTACATTTTAGCAACCTGAGCTGAGGGTTGAGCTTTGGTAGTTAGGGATATAGGTAATTAAAAGCAGCGAAAATAGATGCAAACCCAGCAGCACGGCATGCTACGGAAGTGGATAGCTGTAGTTATAAAACTGCAGTCCTGGATGAGTTTATAGTAAATCGGATTAAATTTAAGACTGCTAAATTGTGCTGTGGGAATTTCTCGCTGTTGACGGGGCTTGGATTGTTCTGTTTATGTTTGGTTTGGGTTCTGCTGGGTGATTTTTCAGTGTGTGTCGAATACATTCATGCTGGTCATTGTGGTAGCAGTTGCCATCCAAAGCTGTCTCTGCTCAGCAGGTCCATCACATCTCCTAGTCAGTTAGAGGTGGGCAAACTGAAGGAAATAGAACTAGAGTTTGCCCGTGGTTGTGCCGCATGAAACCCATAGCAGAGAAAACAGAAAACCTCCAAGTCTTGACTCTCCTGGCAAATGGGGAGTGTTATCAATGCAAGGTACCGTGGAAACCTTTCCTTCTCCAGCCCTCCTCCGCCACGAACAACTTTTTTACGAGTTCTGGTCCTCATCCAGCTCTGAGAGTCAGTGACGATAATTTCAGCATGCCAAATGTCTGGCCTCAGCAGATTTTCTCATGAATTAAAAAAACGGGGTGTGATGTGGAATTTTTCTCTGACTCCTTTGAACACGTCTCCTGGAAAACATCCTCTCAACAGTTCTGCTATCGGCATCTATTTTATGTTTTTCACTCTCTTTTCCACTTGTATTATTGTGGTATTTTACAGGAAAGTTGTTAAATGGTTATTTTCAGTTCTAGTGCCTTAGGAAATCATAGCTAGTCTGTGTTGTATTTCAAAATTAGACTTCTACCTTCACAGGCTAATCTTGGGAGAAACTAAGTGTCCTCAGCTCTTATGAAACCAGTGATGTTCTGTGTGCCCAGCAGATTACTGAATAAGGCCTCATCAGAAAGATATCCAGCCAAAATTGTCAAACTTCTAAATAGAAAGTGCCCCGCTTCCATTCAAAAGCTACTCATAAACAAAAAAGTCAGAAAAAATTAACCCATTTCTCAAATTACTTACAATAATCCTGAGAAGTCAGTAATTTCTGAAAATTTCAGGGAACACTTGAAACAAATCATCACCACTAAGATTTTATTTTATTTTAGTATTTTTCTTCTTATCGCTTATACATTTGGTAGTTACTCTTTCTGCTCTTTACTCAGAACATACTCATTGTAATTCTTCTCTGTACCATTATCACTAGTCTGCAGTTAGGTAGTTTTATTACAGAGAAAAGATATCTCATCATGGAAACAGCACTCCATTTTGCCTTATCCTTATCAGTTTTCTGCTTTTGTGTTATTCACACGCACACGGCTCAAAATATTTGCGAGATGACCTCATTTTTTTGTTGTTGTTGTTTCATTTTGATCTTGTTTTCCTGGCTGAGAGGATGTGTGTCACTTTTGTTTTGAAATGAACTCTGGTAAATACAGCCACTTCTTGAAAAGATCACTGCGCTCATTTGAGCACGACTTTGCTCATAAATATGCAAGTGGGAAGAAAACTATGAAGACTCCTTGTGCGAACTACCCACGGGCTCAGCCTTCTCCCCGTGACGGTACGGTGCTGCTTCTGGATCCTTCCTCGCAGAGCACACAACCTACCTCACGGCCGTACATGACACCCAGTGCCAAAGAAGGCTAATTGTATTATAAGACTTTTTAATTCCCCCAACTTACTTCAGCTGTTATCAGCAGCTGGTTACTTCAGCTAGCTGATATGCCTCGGTGTCTTGTAAACATTCGCTCTAGTATTGTGCATTACTCATAGTTGGAAAATCACTTTGACTCCTGTAACATAATTATGTTAATGTCAAATGAGTCACAGGGAAACAGAAAACGTGTATCAGAGCTGCACCTTGGTGCCAGTTTCTGAATGCTCCTGTTGGCACAGTAGAAGTAGGTTAGGGGATTTAGGGGGAAAAACAACTTTCCTTTAATGAGTGATGTGAAATTACGATAATGACTCATAAGGAAGCTTGCCTGACAATCAAATTCAGATTCACTGAAACATAAAATTGCTAAGAGAATAGCCTGCCTGATTATTTATAAGAGCGAGAATGAAAAATACTGAATTTTTAAAGAATTACTTTCCCAGGAAAACTGCACAGATATCTTTTGCACATAAACAGCTTTTGACATTCATTATTTAGTTCCGATGGCAGCAAGTGGTTTATTTAAATTGACGTCTTAATTAGATTACATTTCAGAGTCAATCATCTCCAATGTTTTATTAATTCTACCTCTTTCTTGGTTTAGTTAATGCAAGTGATCATTTAGGGGGGGGGAAATAAAAATACCCAACACCCTTTTAGCTCACTTTTGGATCCTAACACAAAAAGCCAGAAGCACTTCAACAAGCTAAAAGTTCTTGTAACGTACCTTGTCCTAACTTAAAGCAGCCGAAAGAGCAGTAAGAGCAGAATTCATTCCAGAGTTAAAAGATACAGGGACATACATCTGTGATAAACTGGCTACCTCAGGGCTAAGATGCAGCATTATTATTTATTTTTTTTTCTGTAATACACAGAGGCAAGTTACTCTGGTATTTCCCTACCGGGATTTTACATGCTCAAACATATATCAATATTCCCAGATGCCAGCCTGATGAATAAGATATACCATCTGAACGTAAACGGAGGCAATTTTTTTTTTTTTTCAGGTGGCTGAAACATCATTCTGGGAACACAAGAGCATAAGTATTCCGACCGATCCCGCCGTGCTGTTCAATTGAATGGCTCAAAACTAAACAAAAGGCAAAATCCAGAATGAAAATCATAACCATGTACTTTAAAAGTTGGGGGGGGAAAATTACTCAGGGCAATGTATCAAAAATACATGCTGATACGTAACTGTATTTAACATCCTATTTGAGAAGCTGAGGAGACAAGACTTACATTTCTCTGGGAGCTCCATCCCTCTGAGCATTTCCCCTTCCTCTGCCCACTCCTCACCTCACGCCTTTTCTGCCTTTCCCCCTCTTAGAAACCCGGTTAATAAACGAAATCTCACATGCCCCCTCAGAAACCAACTGTTGTTACTAAATCGAGTGGGAATATAAGGTCACGCCATAGGTGACTAACTGCGCCCTCCGTTTCCCTGCGAGCCATGATCTAAATCCGATGCCGCAGCATCATCCCGGCCTGACACCGAGCGGGGGGCTGCTTGTGTGTCCCCCCCACCCCGGGGACAGCCCGGTGGGGACACCGCCAGCGGCCGGCAGCCCTCGCCCTAGGTGTCACCGTGTTTTAGTGCCTCAAACCCGCTTTTGTGTGGAAAGCCTTTATTGTGGCATTTGGTGCTTCTGTGTTTCGCTCAGACACACGCAGGATATCACCCCCTCCGTGACTGCTGTCACGCCGGGGGGGGCGGTGTGGGGGTATGAGGGACCCGCACCCCCCGCTCTGCCCCGGGGAAACCCACGGACGCTGCCCCCGGGCGGGACCCGCCACCCCGCACCCCCCGCACCCGCGGGGAACGGCTCTCGGGCACCCACCGAACGGGGAAGCGCCCGCCCAACCGGGACCCCCGGCAGCAGCCCGGGCCTCGTCCCCCGAGACCCCCGGAAGGGGCGAGGGGAAGGACCCCGGACACTCCCCCCCACCTCCGCCAGCCCTGCCGCTTCGGGCCTGACCCCCGACCCCAGGGGGCTTCCCCCGGGGGCGGCACCTGCCCCGCTCCCGCCGGACGGGACACGGGGCCTCTACGCCGGTGCGGCACCGGGGGCTGGGTGCGACACCCCCCCCCCCCCCCCCCGC